CAGATGTTTTGCTTTTGCGGATCAAAGGCATCTCTTCAGATTCTGAGCTAGAGGAGTAGTACATAAAAACGCTGGAGGAAATTTGGGAATTCTAGAGAGAAAAGGCTTGAGAGTATGCAAAGGAATTCTAGAGAGAGAAAGCTCGAAAGAAAAATGAGAAAACAGCAGGAGGAATTAGGGGAAGCACCTCTCTATAAATAGGGAAAGCACCGCATGACCCCCTAATCCATGAGCAACACGTGGCATTTGGTGGTTACGATTAAAATTGGGGCATTTATGTTTCATTTTTTGTGCACGTACCCCGGACGGGCTTACAGAGGATTAGCAAAAGCCACAGGGGCTTGCTGTTTAGAAAAATGCTAAGGCCTAAATGTCAACCCGAAGCCCGACCGGCCGACAGTATTATAAAAGGTTATCTGGAAGAAAAATGCTAAGGCCTAAATGTCAACCCGAAGCCCGACCGGCCGACAGTATTATAAAAGGTCATCTGGAGGAGAATGGCTAAATCCTAAAAATTGGTTTGAAGCCCGACCGGCTATCAATGTTATGAAGGAGTCCAAGCGCAAAGAAAACCGAGAAAACTGCTAAGTCCTAAAATTTGGTATGAAGCCCGAACGGCTATCAACGGCATTAAGAATATTTGAGCAAGGAATAAGTTAGGAAATTGCTAAGTCCTACAGAACAGGCCGAATCCCGAATGACGAGTAAATCATGCATTAAAAACAGAAAAGACAGCACAGAAAGTTTCAGACAAAAAAGGGATATATATTCGTCGGTTCTACTGACCGGGAAGTACAAGCTATTTAGAGAAAAAGAAAATTACAACAACTAATGAAAAAGTACATATGAATTATTGACTGGGGGCCATGTCATCTCCCTCTTCATCCTCATCCTCATCATCATCAGATGGGGGTTCAGGCTCTTTTCCCGCAGCTCGATCAGCTTCCCGTTGCTGGGCTCGCAGGTATTTCTCGAACTGCGCCTGGATGATGTCATCTGTGGGGAGATCAGAGGCCAGAACCGGTCTCCCCAGTTGATTTTGGAGCTGAGTGATGAAGGGACGCAGCAAGACCTGGCCAATTTTGCCATAAAGATCGGAGACAATGGAGTCGTTCCATTTCTTGGCCTCCGGATCCTTATCCAAGAGGGCCACCCCAGCCGATAGCCGACCGGCACCTTTGGGGAAATCCTTCAAATACGCCCCAAAGGCGAACGAGATTTGGGCCCTGGCATGTTCATCCTTGATGAGGGAGAATTCATCGGAGGATTTAAACATGTCCCGGACGGTGGACAGATCCACGTTCACTTCGTAGGGACCGTCCGGGATACTGGATGGCAGTTCTTCGAATCTGACCCGAGCTGCCTCAGCGGCGAGGATCTTCGCCTGGGAAGCTGCGAGTTGGACCCGAAGGGTACCGACTTCAGCATCCAGCCTCTGCTTTTCCTCAGCAAAGGTTTTCCGTTCGGCCTCCAGAGAGGCGATGGCAGCAGCAGCATGTTGCTCAGCAGAAGACTGGGCAACAATCAGTTCCCGCTCTTTGGCCAGGCGGGCCTCCCGCATCTGAAGGGTGTACAAGCCCATCTACAGAATACCGTTCGAGAATTAGTACTGATGACAGAGAATAAAATTAAGACAAAGCGCAAGAGACAACGTACCTTCAGAGCAGTCAGAGCCAAACATTCCTCAGATTGCTCGACCGGCAACCGAGGGAGGGAAAAGTTGTTAAACCAGGAGGAGGTAGACCAGATCTGGCTCGCAGTAGATCCAGTCCTCTCTAAAACCTCATGAACAGGGTCGGATAGGGAGATCCGCTCGACCTGACCCGTAATGTGGTCGGTATGTGTCTCACCAGCATTCGAGGATTCCCCCCGAACGGAGTCGAAATGCTGGGAAAATTGGTGCAGTTGGTCAGAACCGAACCGATCATCAAGCAGCATGGCCTCTAGTTGATCCTGGTGGACCTGCTGAATTGGCTGAGGTTCTGAGAGCGGTTGAGAAGGGACAGCCTCCTGAGCGGGAACAATGGTGGGAGTAGGTTGGGGGTTCTTCCGGGATTTTTTCCGCTTTCCGCCCCCACCGGCTGCGATGACTCTGCTATCATCCATGGGAAGATCTGGGTTGGGTGCTGAAAAAAGGCAAAGAACAATGTTAGTATCGAGCGGCCCTAGCGTGTGAGAAACTAGAAAAAAGAATAAAGGAACGTTTCTCGCACGGGAAGGACCGCCCGGACCAAGGCACTTGGTTTATCAAAACAAGTAAACCCAAGAGAACGGGCAGTACCTATCCCGGCTGTTATAAGTCGTTCGGGGGTTAGATAATTCATGATGTCCATGCATTTATCCTTCTCCACAACGAGCACGTCCTTGTAGATTTCTTCAGTCAGGACAGGATCAGGGGTCTTGCGGGGAAAAGCATTCCACTTGCGGGGAATCAGACCGTCCGGGATGGACACGAAGAAAAACCGGTCTTTCCACCCTTTGATCGAAGTTGGGTTTCCTTTGAACAGGATGTGTCCCGTTCGGGCACTAGTGGCCAGATAGCCATGGGTTTGTTGGGGGGCTACTTTGAAGAACTGGTGGAAGAGTTCTAAGGTTGGTCGGGCGCCGACATCTTTGCAACGACAAATGAAACCCGCCATTGCTCGATAAGAGTTCGGCATAATCTGGGCCGGTACAATTTCGTAGAAATTGAAGAAAGAAATAAAGAAAGGGTGTAGCGGAAATCTAAGGCCGGCCCTAATTGAGTCAAAGTGGACTATGGTCATTCCGGGCCTATGACGCATTGGATGAAGCCCAGCTTGCAAACGGAAATCCACCGGGTCAGGGATAAGGGCCGGAATTTCGGCCCTATTGTGAGAGGTCAATTTTTGCCTCCTCTCCCTAATCAATTTTAGGTCAAGAGTATGGCGAGGAACATCGTTGGGACGTCCGGCCGCCATGGAGGCCAATTCGTCCTCAGACTTGGTGTCGTCAGAATCCTCACTGGAGGAAGAAGAAGTGCTAGGGAGGTCCTCCGCCTCAGCCCTGGTATTCGTCGCCGTCTCGGTAGAAACACCGGAAAACGGAATTGGAATGGCATCTACCATGGCGGTGTCACGGTCATCCCCATGAGAGGCCATCTCCGAATCAGAAGAATGCTCTGTGGGGCTCATCTCGATCGAAGCCAGAAATGAAGATGGGGAATCCAAGGTTGGGAAGTTACCTGAGCAAGGGAAGCAGGGGGGAATTTGCAGAGAAAACAACGAAGGCCAAGGAATTGCAGAGTCGAAACCCGGAATTGAGGAATTAAGGGCTAATTTATAGCCTTGAAACCGCCGTGTCGAGAACCAATCAGAGAGCGACACATCACTAGGGGCATTTAAGCTAGACACGCGTCTAATGAAAAGACTAAACGACGGTTATCATGATGAATATGGGGAAATGAAGCGGCAACCGTCAAATCGCAGCATGGGGAACTGATTACTTCTGTACCCCGATCGCATTCGGGGTATTATGACATTGGTATACTTCCTAATGCACTCACTTCGTTCGAGACATCGGAAGTGGGGGACTTGTGTTGGGATATTGACCTAGAGGCCCAATACCCAGATCGGGAAGGCCCAAGGCATCCGGCCCAAGTAACAGGCCCATCACTCCATGATGAAAAGGTCCAGTAAGGAGACATACCGAACGGGGTTCGGCCCAAATAAAGGTTGGCCCAATAAGAAAACATACCGAACGAGGTTCGGGCTATATATCATACTTGGGCCAATTTGACAGCATCTTCAGTACGGACCAACATCCCGTTCGAACAACGGCCAACCAGCAAGTGGCCAGGTGCAGTTAATGCCAGACTATGACATCAGCAAGTGGAAGCATGGATGACCAAGTCGGTGGAACAACGGCCAATCAGCAAGAGGCAGCCCATGCTCTCCATTAGTATAAATAGAAGGTTTCAAGTCATTGTAAGGGTTAGATTTTCGATACTCAAGCTCTAGAATAGCATCATTTGCTCTTATTTCTTGTATTAAAGCATAGTTTCCGACTTACTGATCGGGAAATCTTTTTGTAATCAGATTGGTTAATTAATACAAGTGGGTTTTCGAGTTCTAGTTAATTCAGATTTTATATTTTCTCACACACTTTGATTAATACAAGTGGGTTTTCGAGTACCACCCTAACATCAATCAGCGCCTCCTTCATCAACTTCCAGGACGTCAGGGAGCGACACCTGACACCACCTAATCAATCCTCAAATCCCTTTCAATCCAACGGGAAGGAGTAGACTATATAACCTTTATTAGTAGAGTTGTAATTAAATACAAAAGGGAGAATTTGACTTTGCACCCCACTTTTTGGGTGATGGATTGTGCACCCCATCATATAACATTTTGTGAAGAAAAAATTCTGAATGGGGTGCAAAGTCAAAGAATTTTAAGTGAAATAGGGTGCAAAATCAAAGTTTTTTCAAAATGGTATGCACAATCGAATATCATAAAAAAGAGAAAAGGGTCAAATAAAGCCTTCCACTATTATGAAATAGTCACATAAGGTCATGTACTCAATAAAGTGTCATATAAGTACATCTACTTGTATAAAGCATTCAAATGAATCCTAACAGCTTATTTAACCCCTCCTAATCCCGATTTTAGCTGACATGTCGATTTTTTTGACTTGTATTTCAACCAATCTGAGTTAAATATTCAACATATGTCGTATAATGTATTCTAAAAAGATGGTCAGAAGTACGTTGAAACCGGGATTAAGAAGTGTTAAATAGGTCATTAGGACTCATTTGATTGTTTTTTTCAAGTAGATGTACTTATATGACACTTTGTTGAGTACATGACCTTATGTGACTATTTCATAATAGTAAAAGACTATTTGACCTTTTTCTCTAAAAAAAAAAAAGGTGTAAAGTCAAATTCCACACTTTTTGATATACGGTACTCCGTATAATTTGCTGTGCTCACTATACGAACTCCTAACGTCCTTGTCCACGATGGCATATCCAGTTATCCACTTTCATTGGCTCCCATGAACAAAAAAACGCCCACTCTTCGGACATCCATCCATCCTCACTCCCAGCAACTTCCAAAACCTTCATGGAGACTGCCTTCCCTTCCAAAGCTCGAACACTCTCCCTGGTCTCTTTCGCTGCTGTTGGCTCTCCTACATTTAATCCCCATCGCGTTCTCTTTCACTGCAGGGGATATCATTTCGGCTCCAGCTTCAGCTTGAGGCCACCAGGACTTCGTTCTCGTCGTAGATGCCGGAAGCCAATTGGAATCAAGTTCCGCACTCAATCTTCCAGATCACTTCCTGTAGCGCATCTAAGCTCAGCGACTGTTGTCGTCATAGCCTCAGCCATCATAATCTCAGCTCTTACGATTGTGTTTGTACTATTGTCCAGAAAGAGCACGAAGGCCAAACAAGTATGTCAATTTTTGCAGAATAATTAATTAATTTTTCTCTGCATGGACTATTCGGCTTAGATTTAAAGTGTTAGTTCAGGGCTAATTGAAATTGGTTGGACTTTTTTGAGACATTCCACTATCCCAGCACAAGTCTGCACTTCCATCTATGTTATACTCATTCTTATCAACTATCATGAAGTGTATAAAAGACTGCTGGAATATTCTAGAACTCACTATTTTGGTTTAAGTGTCGAAATGATAGGGTGAAGAAGCACGAAGTAAGCTAATGTCTAATTTAATACAAAGAAAACAATGTATGAAGTAATTGGGAAAAAATATGAGAGAAGAGCATAGTGACATTATACACATTACATGCTTGAATGCTCCATTTTGATAAAGATACACTTAAGAATAGATTTTTAAAAAATTAAATTTAAGAAAAAATTATTAAGGTTAAATTTAAGAACAATTCTTATGACACAAGATTCTAAGAAAATGCGCCTATAAATATATTTTTAAACGCAAATAAATAACTCAAAATTGACTAAAAATTAAACATGCTCACTAACATCCGAGAATTTGCATCTGGAAACAAAATTTTATTGGATACAAAGTAGTACAAATATATTATAGACAAATTGAGTACTGCAAGCTTGCAAAGATCAAACAACAATAAAATCATGAAAAAGCAGTAACTCACTTTTGTCTGTTTGTATTGCTTGTAGCCACGTTAGGAACTTTGCTTTACACTACTTTACTTTTTTTTCTATCAGTATATCCACAATAATTTTTTTACTATGTTCAATTGCGTGGTTCAGCAGACCAAAGCTCAAACTCTGCATTGGGTTTACAATTTTTAGGGCACTTGTTCATAGTAGTAAGACTAGATTCTTTTAAATGGTATATAAGTGGTGCCCTAGGCCCATGCCTAGGCTCACATGGCCTAAAGCCAGCTCTTGCAGCTAGTCAACATGAAGAAACTGCCACCCATGAACTCATGAGGGGTCCATACTAGGAGGAATTGTGGACATTAAATTTTTATTGCCATCTTTTAGGTGTTTTTGGCATGTAACTTTTAGATTTCCCCTTATTTGATAGGCACTAAATGAGCTAGCAGTGGCATTCAATCATCAAATAAGAAATAAAGTGAGGTTAGTTGTGGATAGATTTTTTCATCCTACAGCCAAATGGAAAGATAAAGCTAATGGCGGTTCATCAAGGAGAATGGCAGAAGCCAGTCATGCTGAGCACAGGATTATGGAGGGGATGATGCAAACCAGTCAGAATGGTTTGATGAGAAGTATTGTTAACAAAGTTGAATGCCCACATCCCAATACAACAACTTCTAGAGTGGTGGATTCTCCTGTCTCATTAGAATCTGAAGATGCTAGCTCATTGTCCAAAAACGATGAAATACTAACTACTTCTGAGGCAGAATCAGAAGCACATGAACTGTACATGGTGGAAAGTCTACAAGAAAGTAAGATTACTACCGATTTGCCCAAGGCTATACTCAGTTCTGGCTCTTGTGTTTCATTGACTGCTGCAAATAATTTAACAGAAAAAGTGGATGATATCCTGCAACAAAGACATCAACCAATTGTTGGAAGCAAAATGATTACTCACAACATTTTCTTCAGAGAACCTGGACGGAAAGAGCTCTACAGATTCTATGATGCATCTGCTGAAAATCAGCAAGGTCTAGTAACTTTGTCTTCTTGTTCATCCCCTAAGGAGAACTTACTTTTTATCATTTTAAAAAGGTTTGTCACTTTGTTCAGTAGAAGGCTCCTAACCATATCTTCAGCCTGCACGTTATGCCATTCAAATTCTAGGGTCTCCTCATTTCATTATAGCTCATGCTTTTCTGTCATAACCTCCCTTCTGAGTTTTCTGCTACCATCATATTTCTCTTGCTCTTGCATTATTGATGGTTATTCTTTATTATGATATGGTTACTCGAGTCACTGTCCTCCCTAGAATTTATAATGTGAAAGCGTCCCATGGAAATTACACAGGAGATGAATTTGGAGAAAGGGTATTGGGAAAAAGTAAAAATATTTCGAATGCGAAGGAAATAAGCATTATACAATCAAAGTGTTCCACAAAAGCCTCCAGGTCTCCTGATCCAACGGGGAAGAACACATCTAACGTACATCATATATCAGAGCAAGCCGATGCTTATCATCACTTCTTGAGGAGTGGAAGGTAACTAACGGCTGGTGTGTTACTCTAAGAGACAACTCATGTTAGTGACCTTAAATTCTGAAAAGCATTTTAATAAAGCAAAAACGTTTAGTTCTTATTGCAGACTTGGAGTAAGAAAATTTTCCACTTCTGGTCCCATGGCTGTTTCGTCATTCTACTATTAGTTTCAGACTTATTTTCACTCTTGGTGCAAGACTATGGATTTCATTTACTTTTGATTCTTCCAATTACTTATCCTACCATATTGTTTAGTATAATTTTGTGGTTTTGAAAAGTCAAGTGACCTGAAGGACCGAAAGTGGCAAGATCTATAGTTGTGCACCCAAAGAGGAAAATAAGAGTCGTGAACCAAAAGTGGTAATGTCCTAATATTTGTGAGATAAAAGATGGAAGTTTCCTGCACATATTATTGGAATGTATTTTAGTTATTACATTTTCGGCGCAGTTTTGGAAAATGAGGATTGTAAATTCTTTAGAGGAGTGTTATGAAACCAATTGACTTTTGACATTCTCTCAAGTGTTGTATACACCCTAGAATCAATTAAATCTAATTAATAAATCTGCACAGCCAACAGAAACAGGCTGGATAGCTATTAACTTGTGTTGCAGTCTGGGGATGTAGCCTCAGTATTACAATATATGTACATCAGTTTTACATGTTGAATATTTTGGGCTTTTAAAATGCAGTACCATTTGTAGTGTTGAACAAAAAATAAATAAATACGAGTCTAGAGTACTAATAAACTAATGTAATGCTTAAACATGTGGGTTTGACATACTACTCTATTTATATTGTTCTAGATTGACAGACTGTTTGCGGATTCTTGAAGACATGGATAATGATGGTTTATTAAATACAGACAAAGTAAGCATATGCCACAACTATTGACAGTATTATATTTAACAATTGACTACTTATTAATAATTGAGCATTTCTCTCTCAGGTTTACCATGCAAAGTTTTTCCAAGCATGTAGAAATGAAAAAGCTGTTAGCGAAGCTTTTCGTTTCACAAAGCTTATCCGCAACCCAACATTAAGCACATTTAACTTGCTTTTGTCAGTTTGCGCAAGCTGTCAGGATCTGGAAGGTAGCTCTTATCTTTCTGCCTATCTGATAAAGCTGACCAGTATTAGTGCGTATTACTTTTCAGCATATTTATGGGCTGTACGTGACTTTGTAGGGGCTTTTCGAGTTCTTCAACTTGTCAAGGAAGCTGGATTGAATGCTGACTGCAAACTCTATACCACCCTTATATCTACTTGTGCTAAAATTGGAAAAATTGACACAATGTTTGAGGTAAATGTACAATTTTGTTCTCTGCAGATTCTCAATAGAGTTCTTGTTAAGCGAACTCCAAATGTCAATTTTCTATGTTACTTGTGCTTGTTCTTATGATCATCATGTTTCCTAGTTCCTACTGATATCCTGCAAAGTTATAGGTTTTCGACAAAATGGTTAATGCTGGAGTTGAACCAAATGTCCACACATTTGGTGCACTTATTGATGGTTGTGCTAAAGCTGGGCAAGTTTCCAAGGCTTTTAGTGCTTATGAAACCATGTTATCTATGGTATGACTATTAGTGTCAATATAATATGAATTTCAAGACACAAACATACATTACTCCCTCCGTCCCTTTTTATTTAGCCAAACACTATTTTCAAGTCAATGATGTTAAACTTTGACCGACTATATATTTATGCACGACAATATTGATAATATGAAAGTTATATGAAAAATGCTCTTTTAAAAAAATACTATCATAAAAGTATAAATGTATTAAGTTTCACATAAATATATTAGTTAAAATAATGAATCAAAGTTTATCATCTTTGACGGGAAAAGTCAAAGATGGCTAAATAAAAAGGGACGGAGGTAGTATCTTTTTCCATGTAGTATGACCTCTATAAATGTTTAATCTCTACGGTGGATTGTATGCAGTAGCATGTTAAGCCAGACCGTGTTGTGTTTAATTCCCTTATCACGGCATGTGGTCAATCTGGAGAAGCAAACCAGGCTTTTGATGTTCTAGCAAAAATGAGAGAGGAAACACATCCTATACACCCCGATCATATTACCATTGGGGCTTTGATGAAGGCTTGTGTAAATACTGGACAGGTGTGTTTCATCCATCTTTGTACAACCAAATATCAATATCGTAAATGGCGTCTATTATCTTTCTATCTACATAATACTATAGTAGTACTTTTTTCTATTTCACCTTAAGTTGGTATTATATCACAATCAGTGCAAATTAAGCTCCAACGAGCAATTAGATCCTGATAAGTCTCAATAATGAGACTACAACATAGGTCCGCTCCAACGAGCCACCATCTTGAGGGGGCGTATTAAACTATCCCACACGAGTTTCATACAAAAAACAAACCAACATATAAAACATTGGATCCCTCCTCCTACTAGGTTGACCTTTTAATATGTGAGACCGATTGCAGTTCTTTTTAGAAAAACTTGTAATTTTTTCTTTAGAGTATTGCAAAATTCGCTTAAAGTATTACCGTTCTGCCGTGAGACGGTCTCACGGGAGACCAACTCTCATTATAATTTTTTTTCTGTTTAGGTTGATCGAGTAAGAGATGTTTACAATTTGATTCATGAATATAACATCAAGGGTGGTGCAGAATTGTACACAATTGCTGTCAATAGTTTCAGTGAAAAAGGTGATTGGGAGCTCGCGTGTAGCATCTTCAATGATATGGACAAGAAAGGCATCGCCCCTGATGAGGTAATCCTTCAGATGTGCAATTACAATTTGTAGTTGGACTGTACAGTGATAGTTGACAATGTTGTTTGAGGTGTGTTAGGCATGATGCTATGTTTACTGACAGGAAGAATATTGCTGTGTGAGACTTGAAGGCAAAAATTGGTGCCACTATGTACTGCCTTTAAAGTTTGAGGTAGTGTTCTAAAAAGTGGTAGATGTCCTTTAGACGGTAGACTGAGGTCTAATGCCTAGACCTGCTAGATGGGACCAAAATAAGAAAACATGGGCATTGGTGAAGCTAGTCAGGGATTTTTGGACATTGGCTCGAGGACAAGCTCGATGTCCCAAGGGGAGTGTGCAATATGTGAATTTAGAGGGCATTTACGGGAATCACTGGAATGAATCAATCAATCAAATATCATTAATTGATCGCCTCTTGATTGTTTCATATTTGAATTTTGATTTAGCTTTCTTTAGAAGAGTTGTTAAGTTTGATAACTACCTTATTGGTCATCTTTTCCATTTATAGTTTACTATTTGCAATTTGCAACTCCTATATGTTGGAGGCCCCTTTTACAAATCGGGCATCAGGGCATGAAAAATGAATCAAGGAAAAAATGAAAAATCAAGGCAAAGGAAGGCTCCTTTAAATCACCAACCCTATTGTTGTGATTTCGTTCAAATTCAATCTGGTCATTGCAGCCATGTCCACCATACCATTAGTAGGAAATATCACTTCAAACCCTAAACAACAACTCTAGACATTTCACAGTTGTTCACCTTCTTCGAACACGTCAAATGCTAATGAAAACGAGCCGAATTCCTCTTGTCCGAATTCATCTACCGAGGAAAATGATGGAAGGGAGACAACTTAGGTTATACTATCCTCTATTCCATAAAAGTTGCAACAGTTTGACTTTCACTTTTGCCAACGCGCAACTTTGACTGTAATTATATTTATTTACGTATTAGTAAACATTAAAAAGTTAATATATTGGAAATTTACATTCATACAAATTTATTAATATTTTATACATAATATTTTTATTATATATATTATTAGAAAATCGTAGTCAAAGTAAAGTGTGTGAATAGTGCAGAAATTTCAATGTTGCAACTTTCATGGAATGGAGGAAGTATATATTAATACAACAACAACATCCAAGCCTTATCCCAAAAGATTTTGGGGTCGGCTAAAGAGTAGAAAGATACAAACAACGACAACATTACCCCAGCACCGCAAAGACTCCCACCAACGGTGGGGTGGGGGTCTATTAATCCCACTTGTGGTGTATAGGCACTTAACACAGACATGATTTCATCTCCGATTATCAAGTTAGTGCTTATGATGCGGTCGTTCTTCCTAAAGACTTCCACCACACCCTCAACATAATCACACACCATAATAACGCCTACTTCATTTATGGTCATCTCTCTCCATAGAATACCACAACTTAAAACCTCCGGGATTAATCTCACATGCCTTTTCTCCAACTCACTTAGTTTCTTGCAGGCACATAATGCCGATATTTCTCCTCCTCATAACTTCGATTACCTCAGATGATCTTCCCGTAAGAGAGTCGACATCCACGTCCCAAAACGCAATCTAGTACCTTGTCTTCTCTTCTTCACTCCACGTCGACCCCCACCATGCCCTTGCATATTTGACACCATCCCCGAACATTGAGGTGACGCGTCGCTTCCGGGCGATGACCTAGCAGCCTTAGCATTCTTATCACCACACACAGGCCTATGAAGTGTAGCGCGCTCTTGCATATTTCACACCACCCCGAGAGGGAGGGATGACGCGTCGCTTACGAGCGACAACCTAGCTGTAATGATTTTCATATTTCAATTCATGTCATGTGATGTGACTAAGTGATACTATTGGCCGTCACACGCCTACCACATCACCCTCCTCCTTTATCCTGACTTGATACATGTATGATACCAAAATGATCTCATGGCGGAGTTAGATTATATTACCCCCGTTCTTAAATAAATGCAACATGTTGAATCTTGCACTATTCACATGTTCTACATTGACTACTTTGACTCCGATTGTGCATTTATGAGGAGATATCTTAGAGATCTCAGAATCTCTAAATATCCCCAATTATCTTTTCTTTAATAGGGAACCTTAATTAGGAGGATTCCTTCCTTATTTCATTTTTTCTCTAGCTATATATATCCTGTATTCTTCTCCTTGTAACATACAGAACATAATAAACAGAATACAGTTTACTTTCTCGAGTTATTTCTACAGAAACCAAAGTTTGATTCAATTTTACACTCCCTTTTAGACACTTCTCTTGTCCACCTTCCATCCAACTAATGGATAAGTCTCGGAAGTTTGCCTTTATCTCTCCGAGAGTTGCCAGCCATTCCACACCAAGTACCAGATCAGTTCCACCAAGGTCTAACAGATAGAAGTCTTGATTAATTTCCATGCCTTGCACTCGTGTTTGGAGTTGTTCACATTTCCCTGCATTGTTTATGGAATTTCCATTCCCCGGTTCAACTTGGAATCTGGTATTGGCATTATAGTTCAAGCCTAGCTCCTTTACAAGTGTTTGAGAAATAAAATTATTGGTAGCTCCGGAGTCAATGAGTACTATCACAGCTCTGTCCCCCTTCACCCCCTTCACACTCCCTTTAATCTTGAACGTGTTTTGAGTATTTATTCCCTCCTTGCTCAAAGAGGACAGATGCATCAGGGTTGCCTCTTCATGGCCCTCTACTTCTTCAGTTTCTGGACTAGGATCTTCTTCTGTGTCAGATGCATCAGATTCTTCCATCAATCTCAGCTTGTATTTTTTTTAGCTTGCACACATGCTCCTTATTCCATTTTCCCCCACATTTGAAACACAACCCACGCCTAGTTCTGTCCTCAAAGTCAGCTTGAGATAACCTGGGTCCTTCCTTCCAAATTTTATTGGATCCAGCTGACCCTTCTGTTCTGTGGTCAGGTCCTTTTACCAACAAAGGAACCTTAGTTGAAAAAAACTCTTCTGGTGTTCTGTGGCTCCGTACTGAGATTTAGATGAATGGACCCTCTTGTCCTTCCATCCACGCTTGTCAATCTCCCTGTTCTTATCCTTCTTCCGTGCCACATACTTTCCTTCTACCAACAAGGCCTTGTCCATCAGATCAGTCAATCCCTTTGATTTGTATAGCTTCAATTCTGCCTTCAGTCCATCCTTCAGCCCATTTAGAAATACCCCTTTTAAGACTTCTGGATCAGTGTTTCTCAGAGGTGCCACCACCGACTCAAACAGATCCCTGTACTCCATTATTGACCCGGTTTGTTTAATGCTAAGGGATCTGGCCAAAGGGATCCTGGACCAGATCCGGTTGAAACCTACGGATCAGAGCCCCTTTAAAGTTCTCCCAGGAATGATCAGCGGTGTTTTCCTCCCACCACTGATACCAGTTGAGCGCCTTATCCACCATGGCTATTAGAACTATTTCCACTCTGTCCGCCTCATTCACCCTGTTCAGCCTAAAATACCGTTCTATGTTAGGTTACAGACCTAATCACATTGATTCAAGATACTAGCGATGAAGAGAAGATTTGTGCGTAACAATAGAAAGCTTTGTATAACAGAAAGAGAAAGAGAAAATACAAGATAGTTCCAAGTCCCAAGTCCCAAGCCCAAAGGATAATTCCAGTCTCCCTCTCTATTCCACCCTCCACCTCTATTTATACTAATTCTAATACTCTTCTTATTTCTTATTATTCTATGTAGGTCCCTAACACTACTCCCCCTTTGACAACCACCTTGTCCTCAAGGTGGGTCATAGATGAACAGCTTCTTCCTCATCTTCGCGCCTCGTCCTTCCCAGTATCTTCCAAATTGCTGGACCCTGAACTTCATAAACTGAACCTTTTCCATCACTTTTACCATAGCAAGCAGCTGAAACAAGGGCATGGTTACATGATGCTTCACTAAAACCTGGTCAGCACCAAGTGCTACAACCCTTACTGAGCCAATCTCAAGGGCCAGTCCATCTATAATTGCAGGAAGATCCAGTGATGCTTTTCGATGAGAACAATTTTGTATATTATCTGAAACAACCTCCAATATAATATAGATTCTTCCTGAATGAGTAGCAACCCCAATTATACCCCTCCCACCATTTCTGAACTCTGATATAGGGGCCATGTGGATCTGTTCTATACCTTTAATATCTCTAGCCTCAGTATCTTTAGCCTCAAAATAATTTTCAAGGAGAAAACCGTTCCTCTTGTGTGTTACAAACAATTCTGATAAGCGCGTGAACAGTGTTCCAAACTGCCCATGAAAGAAACATTCCTGAATTCTCTTTGCTTCTCTAACTGGATCTGCATCCAACTTTCTTAGCTCCTGTGAGGAGAAAGAAGTCATAACTATTTTTCCCAGCGAGTATAGTTCCACTTCTATCATTCCAACATCTTCAGCTAGATTAGTTTCCAGCAAAAAAACACTACTGGAACAATTCACTTCTCGATTATTGGAACCTAAGACCAATTTGTAAGGTTGGAAATTTGCTTGAGCTTCTAGTCCATTAACACCAGTCTGAATAGCAGGGTCCAAGTCCACACTGATTCTACACATCAGGTACCCAAGATCAAATTCATTATCCCCTCTTAATCTCGAATCAAAGAAGTTCCAATATGCAGAAAGTACCCATTTGCACCCTTCAACCCCAAGAATCAACAACTGGTTCTGCCTTTCAACAATATATCTTTTCCTGATTATCTTGAGCCTTGGACTAGTACTTGCCATGTGAGACCTGTAACCAAAACCTACACTTCTATCTTGAACAGGTATACAATATACTTGTATTTCCCTAAAACTTTCACCCATGAATAATGCATCAGGTACTAGACCAGGAATAAGATCACTGTGAATCCTTACAAACATTTCAGCATTATCATCAGTACCATAATCAACCTTTTCCTTCCAATTCTCAATAATTCCTATTCCCAACTCCTTCTGAATACACTTCCTAGAAATAACATCATCAATTTTGTAACAATCAATCTTATTCCGCCCTTCAGAACTATTGTCTGGTAAACAATGATCTAGTTTAAGTATTTCTGAACCTTTCATAGGTTGATTAACATCCTCTTCATGGTCTGATTCTGTAACTGATGGGGCCATCGGGTTTGGTTCTGTGTACATTGTTGTTGGTGGAATTCCCTGGGATCCCTTTTCTGAAGCACCTAGGTCAACGGTTCTTGAAGCTGATGAACCTGGCGTAAGGTGAGGAACCTGCGACGAAACTTGAGATGACGATTGATGATGCTCTGTTAGTAACGGCAATCTGGTAGCAACAGTTAGCGCCTGAGACGAAACTTGCGAACTTAGCGAAACAAGTCGCGACGAACTCTGCAAAGTCGATGAACTCTGCGGATGTTGAAGAGCGGTTTGCGAACTGTTCTTGCTTTTGGAATTCCGGCATCTTTTTATGGTCCTCGATCTTCCTCGCGAATGTCGATTGTTTCTTTGCAAGATTAGTTCGCGCATCTCATCTAGCCAGATCCTCCTCTCCTTCTCCCAATTACTTTCCACCTTTTCCGCAAGCTTCTCTACTTTTGCCCGCTCAACCTTTTCCGCGAGCTTCTCTTTTTTTCTGCGCTCAACCTTTTCCGTGAACTTCTCCAATTTTCTGCGTGGTTCCTTTTTGCCTTGTGTAGAGAGGCGCTTCTCCCTGTTCTCGCGCAAACTACAGGCGTTCTCCTTCTTTTCTCCATATTTGTGTCTCCTCTCTGGTTCGCATTCCCAGCTTTCCCAACTACTTTCCATCATCTCATAATCAATTTCCTCCAAATTCAATATCCAATCTTTACTCTTTACTCTTTTGACGGCCATGATCAGGTGCCAGAATAATGCTCTGATACCAATGTTAGGTTACAGACCTAATCACATTGATTCAAGATACTAGCGATGAAGAGAAGATTTGTGCGTAACAATAGAAAGCTTTGTATAACAGAAAGAGAAAGAGAAAATACAAGATAGTTCCAAGTCCCAAGTCCCAAGCCCAAAGGATAATTCCAGTCTCCCTCTCTATTCCACCCTCCACCTCTATTTATACTAATTCTAATACTCTTCTTATTTCTTATTATTCTATGTAGGTCCCTAACATTCTACTTTGACAATCCACCCGTAGGCATCGTTTCCACTAAACAGGGGTAAATCCACCTTCCGACCCGTGTGTATGCGATCATGGATTACGGCTGGGTCAGATGTGATTGAAACAGATCTGGAATCGTTGGACATACCGCTGGAGTCCGGTGGCGAGTAGTCCGCGATCGCCCCCTGGTCTTTTTTTTCTGCTCGCGACGAATCTGGATATTTCCGATCGCCGCCAACATGGTGTTCATTCGCGCATCTATATCGGCTCTCATCTCAGTGAAGGCTCGCTCCATGTTGTCCATTCTATTCTCCATGCCTGATCGCGTAAATACCATCCACAGGTTCCCAGAACAGTGCTCTGATACCAGTTGATAAGTACTAGCTCAAATCACCCAGAAAATATAGCGTATATTAATCACCAAACACCCTTACAATATCTGGAAGAGTTCTTAGGAGAATAAAAGACAACAAAGAGGAATTAAATTGCAGAAAACAAAGAAAGATAGGTGAGACACTTCGAGCAGTCTCTCTCCTAAGCCAAGAGAATTCCAGCCTGCCTCTTGCTTCCCACGCTCATTTTATTCCTTTTTCTGTCTGACAACGCCACCTCAGCCAATTAGTTACTCCTGCCACTTCCTTGCCTTCTTATTAATTTACTTTTCTGCCCCTTCGTATGTAAACCTTAGAGAAATCCCGATTGGGATTTATTTGTAAAGTGTTGGGGTTCTCATCAATGTCTGACTCAATCTTCTTGTACACAGTTGTTCATCAGTGCAATGGTAGATGCTGCTGGGCATGCCGGTAAACTTGATGCTGCATTTGCACTATTAAAAGAAGCCAGGAATAATGGAATTTACACTGGAACCATTTCATATAGCTCATTGATGGGAGCATGCTGTAATGTATATATGTAGAGCATTCTTCTGTCTTCTTTGATATTAAAAGCTTTGTATTTTTATTCCATTGCTCTATTTCATTTTCAAGTTTTGAATTGCATTGTAAAATCTAGGATTATAACTAGCAACATTATCTTTTTAAAATAGAAGAAAACCAGAACAGAAAAAAGTAAGAATGCTTTTTCTTTAGGAAACCATTTTCAAAATAATTGCAGCTGATAGTAAGTCAGGACTCTTTCTCTATCGTGTTTGCAATAAGTGTTACAAATATCAATGTCTATTGCAGACAAAAAACTGGCAGAAGGCCTTGCAGTTGTACGATGAAATCAAAGGCATGAAGTTGAAGCGAACTGTTCCAATGATGAATGCCCTGTTAACTGCATTATGTATGTCTGCGGCTCTCTGTTTATCAATTTTTATGGACATATGGGAAATGCTAGAACTTGTTCATGTAATTTTGAAGCTAGAGCAGTGTGTTATATTGAAACACTAGTATGTTAGGCTGATCAGAAGGAAATTTCATTCAGGTGATGCAGAAAAAATAAAGGAAGCTGTGGATGTTTTATTTGAAATGAAGAGAGAAGGCCTACCCCCGAACAGCATAACATACTCCGTACTGTTGGTGGCCAGTGAAATGTAATTCCCGGATCCTTTGAATATACAATAATACAATATTCTGTGCTATATAAAGTACACACACAAAAAACAAACACATGCGTGCAGGTATGTATTTATACATTTATGTATGTATATACGTAAGTATGATTTTTTTATGTGTGTATCAGTCCATGTATGCAAGCATGTGCTCTTTTAGGTTTTCAAACAGCTACCAATCATTCTGCTTTTTTTAATCATGAAAGGTCGGATGACCTGGATACTGGCCTCATGCTTTTGTCTGAGGCAAAAAAAGACGGTGTTGCACCTAACCTTGTAATGTACAGTTGCCTAATGGGTAAGATCTGTTGACTTTTAACTGAACTAATTTTGTTGTTGGATATGATGATTTTATTCTTGCTCTGACAGATCTGACTATCTAAGTCTGATACTCTGATTCCTTACATTTATTTTGAAATATTTTATGGCTTGCCTTGAAATATTTGAGAATAAACTTGGCCCCTTTGATCATACCTGTGAACAAGTATTGTTGTATTTCATATACTTGATGTTAAAATGCTATACAAGAAGCTATATTTATAGCTATATTTAGAGTACTAGGGTTTCCTATACAAGATATACAAATGGGCTAAGCCCAATACTACTAGGGTTTCCACACTCCCCCTCAAGCTGGAGCATATAAATCATATGTACCAAGCTTGTTACAAATATATCCCACTCTTGGACTTCTAAGAGACTTAGTTAAAATATCTGCAAGCTGTTCAATTGTGTTGACATATTTTGTGATGATATGTCCACTCACGATCTTCTCTCGGATAAAATGACAATCAACCTCAATAGGGAAAACTGTCAAATAGGTCCTCCAACTTTCATAAAAAGGTCAATTAAGTCCTTCTATAGGAGGTTCTGTCCGACCGTCGCGATTTGGGGCCGTTCCCGGTGGAATTTTTTGATGAATTTTTTTGAGCATTTTATTCACCAATTCTAGTTTACTCGTACCAAATTTCAGCTAAAAATTCAATTGGGAACACATTCAAATTAATTCTTGAAGATAACTGCGCATTTTTGCGTTCTCGAATTAATTTGAATGCGCTCCCGATTAAATTTTTAGCTGAAATTTGGTATGAGTGAACTAGACTTGATGAATAAGATGCTCAAAAAATTTCATCAAAAAATTCCACCGGGAACCGCCCCAAATCGCGACGACGGGACAGAGTCTCCTATAGAAGGACTTAATTGACTTTTTTATGAAAGTTTGAGGACCTATTTGACAGTTTTCCCACCTCAATATGTTTTGTCCTCTCATGATATACCGGATTTGATGCGATGTGCATTGCAGCTTGATTATCACACATGAGTTGATCTGGTTTTGTGTTTCCATATTTTAACTCTTGGAGGAGATGCTTCAACTATAAGATTTCACATGTAGCAAGGGCCATTGCACGATATTCTGCTTCAGCGCTAGATCTGGCAACCACATCCTGTTTCTTACTTTTCCATGAAATTAAGTTTCCACCAATCAAGATGCAATATCCCGAAGTGAAACGTATATCCATCGGACATCCGGCCCAGTCTGCATCACAGTATCCCACAATATCATGGTGGCCTCGATCTTCAAACAACAATCCTTGCCCCGGAGTTTTCTTGATGTATCCCAATGTCCAGTACATGGCTTATCAAGAAACTGACTAAGAACACTTACCACAAATGAAATATCTGGTCTCGTGATGGTAAGATAATTCAGTTTGCCGATGAGTCTTCTATATTTTTCCTTGTTGGGCAAAGGATCTCCCTGTTCTGATAAGAGTTTAACGTTTGGATCCATTGGTGTATCCACTGGCCTGCAATCTAGCAAACCTGTTTCCTCAAGAATATCCAAGGCATACTTTCTTTGTGAGAGAGCAATTCCATTTTGAGACTGTGCAACCTCAATGCCAAGGAAGTATCTCAACTTTCCCAAGTCTTTTGTTTGAAATTTGCTAAAGAGATGTTGCTTGAGGAGCGCAATTCCTTGATCATCGTTACCTGTAATGACAATGTCATCAACATACACAACAAGATAAATACATTTGTTGCCAACATAATGTCGATAGAATATAGAATGATCGACATCACTGCGAATCATGCCAAAGTTGCAGACAACGGCACTAAGCCTCCCAAACCATGCACGTGGAGATTGCTTCAAGCCATATAATGAACAACGTAATTTGGACACCATACCAGACTCCCCCTGAGCAACAAACCCAGGTGGTTGCTCCATATAAACTTCCTCATGCAGATCTCCGTGAAGGAATGCATTTTTAATATCCAATTGGAACAATGGCCAGTGGCTCATTGCTGCCATGGATAAAACCAAACGAACTGATGCAATCTTCGCTACAGGAGAAAGAGTGTCAGTGTAATCCAATCCATATATCTGAGTATACCCTTTCGCCACAAGGCGTGCTTTAAAACGATCAATCTCCCCATTAGGCCCAACCTTAACTGTGTAAATCCACCGACATCCCACCACTGATTGCCAGTGGGAAGGGGGACTAAGTCCCACGTCCCACTTGAATGAAGAGCCTCCATCTCAGCCAACATGGCTTTATGCCATTCCGAGTGTGCCAGTGCCTCATGTGTGGTTTTAGGAATGCATATATGAGACAGGTGGGAAATAAAAGCATAATAAGGGGTAGAGAGGCGGTGATAACTCAAAAAGTTATATATGGGATGTGGATTCGAAGTAGAACGCGTACCTTTTCGGAGAGCAATGGGCAAATCATCCTGAGTAATTTCGGGTACTGGGGTATCTGATGGTGATGGTGCGGGACCCGTCATAGGGGATTCAACTGGCGTGGCCACAATGGGCACAATGGGAGGAGGTAGAGGACGTCGATGGTATACTTGTAATGGACGGTCTGCCATAGGAGAGCAATTTGGGTGCTCATTAGATGGGGGGTTAATGGGAGTCTCCAGATGGATGGGTCGGAGATATGAGGTGAAGTCCAAACATGATGGGGTATCAACCGAAGATAATGGATAATAAAAGGACGACTCAATGAAAGTGACATCGGCTGAAATAAAATGTTTCTTAAGTAATGGAGAATAACAACGATATCCCTTTTGGAATCGTGAATATCCAAGAAAGATACATTTTATTGACCTAGCCGACATTTTAGCTAATCCAGGTGTCGTATCATGGACAAAACACACACACCCAAACACATGAGGTGGTAATGGAAATAAATCATGAGCATGAAACAAAATAGAATAAGGAATTTCATTGTTAAGAACTGAGGAAGGCATTCTATTGATTAAATGACACGCAGTGAGCATAGCATCTGCCCAGTATTGAGGTGGTGTATGAGAATGTAATAATAAGGTACGAGCAGTATCAACCAAGTGTCGGTTCTTGCGTTCAGCAACCCCATTTTGTTGAGGCGTGTGAACACAAGAGGATTGGTGAAGCATACCCCGTGATGCCATGAATTGATTAAAGGATGCACCAAAAAATTCTTTAGCATTGTCACTGCGTAAAATTTTGATAGAATGACCAAACTGAGTTTGAACTTCAGCACAAAAAGTTTGAAAAATATGAAACAATTCAAAACGCTCTTTCATTAAAAACAACCATGTGTAACGGGAAAAATCATCCACAAAAATAACAAAATAACGAAAACCTAAAGTAGAAGTGACTCGATACAGACCCCATACATCTGTGTGAACTAAATCAAACGGTGATGTAGCCCGTTTATTGACTCGCCTTGGAAAGGATTTACGAGGTTATTTTCCAAGGTGACATGACTCACAATCTAAAGATGAAAGATTTGAGAAACCTGGTACCATACGTTGAAACTTTGAGAGACTAGGATGACCCAGACGGTTATGTAAGGTAATAGCAGGTTCAACTGAAACACAAACGGTTGGATCAAGAGGATGGAGATGATACAGACCTTGAGATTCATGGCCGACGCCAATCGTTTTCCCGTACAACGGTCCTGCACAATCACAGAATCAGCAGAAAATGTTACGGAACAATTAAGAGCACGTGTAATTTTACTGAAAGAGACAAGGCTAAAAGGGGTGTTTGGGACATATAAAATCGAGTCTAATGGTAAGGATGAAAGTGGAAGTGCTTGCCCAATACCCGAAGCCGAAGTTTGAAGGCCATTAGCAAGTAATCAAAGGAAGATGTTGGTGCTTGGTAATATGGGATAAAAGATGGGGATTACCAGAAATATGGTCTGAGGCACCTGAGTCAATGATCCATGAGCCTGTTGTGTTTGAAACACAAGCGGTAGACATCCCGTGTGTGGAAACATGCATATTAGCCAACTTAAATTGCTGAAATGCTGCATATTCTTCCGGTGATAGAACAATGGGAGATGACGGTAGCTGAGCAACATGGGCTGAAGGAGGGGGTCTCCCATGTAATTGCCAACACCTGTCTTTAGTATGACCAATTTTATGACAAAAATCACATTGAGGACGATTCCATCTTGAGCATCCGGTGTTGTTTCCTCTGTCAGAACTCATAAAAGACATTTTTTTACTGATTTTTTATTATTATTTTTTCTTCTCTTTTTTTTGAAGTGAAAAGCTAATATTACCAAAACAAATGAGAAATCAAAAATAAAACCTGCCGAGGGGATCAATGCTTCATGGCAGTAGAACTCACGGAGAAAGCTATTATTTGCAGCAATTTGCAAATAATAGAAAATTTAAAGTAATGGAGCAGTAACTTCCCAAGACAGCAGCTGGAGTGTTGACCAAGATCTTTGCTGGATTGGACTGCTGGGTAGATGAACAGTATAAGCAAATCAGGGAGTATGAAAACCAACCTTTGTCCGGGAGTTACGAAACAAAGCAGCGGCGGAAGCAGTGCGTACGGACGATCGGCAGCGGCGCGTGGACGGTCGGCGGATCTGGGCGGATCTGGGCAGCAATCTGGGCGGACCTGGGCGGCGTGTGCACGGATCTGGGCGGCGATCTGGGCGGATCTGGGTGGCGATCTGGGCAGATCTGGGCGGCGTGTGGACGGATAGGGCGGCGCGTGGACAGATCTGCTTCGGCGCGTGATTTTCACGGCGGTAAGTCGCGATGTTGAGGTGAAGACGACAGTAGGTTTATATCACTACCGAAAGCACGATATCCACGACCACTATTCACGCCAGAATTTTTGACCGACTAACAGATAATAACACTAACTAATTATATTTGTCATAGTGGCTCTGATACCATGTGAACAAGTATTGTTGTATTTCATATACTTGATGTTAAAATGCTATATAAGAAGCTATATTTATAGCTATATTTAGAGTACTAGGGTTTTCTATACAAGATATACAAATGGAA